CCCCCGAAATCCCCGAAATCCGCGGCTGGTGCAGGCATCGACCTCGGGGAGCTGGGCTCGCTGCTGGCGGCGCTGCCGGCGCAGGACGCGGCGCGCCGGGCCTGGGCGCTGCGCCGCCACATCCTGGAGTTCCAGGAGAGCTTCTCGGTCATGGAGAGGGTGGGCACGGCCCCGGGCCCCCCGAAACCCGCCCGGCACCCCGAAACCTGGGCCAGGACCCCCGAAACCCGCCCGGCACCCCGAAACCCGCCCGGCACCCCCTAAATCCCGGCCTGGCACCCCGAAACCCGCCCGGCACCCCGAAACCCGCCCGGCACCCCAAACCTGGGCCGGGACCCCCGAAACCCGCCCGGCACCCCAAACCCGGCCTGGGACCCCGAAACCCAGACTGAGCCCCCAAAACCCGCCCGGCACCCCGAACCTGGCCTGGGACCCCCTAAATCCCAGCCTGGGACCCCAAAACCTGGGCTGAGACACCAAACCTGGGCTGGGACCCCAAAACCCAGACTGAGCCCCCAAAACCCGGCCTGGGACCCCAAACCCAGGCTGGGACCCCCTAAATCCCGGCCTGGGACCCCAAAACCCGCCCGGCACCCCAAACCTGGGCCGGGACCCCAAAACCTGCCCTGAATCCCCTAAATCCCGGCTGGGACCCCAAAACCCAGGCTGGGACCCCCTAAATCCCGGCCTGAGCCCCCAAAACCGGCCTGGGACCCCAAAACCCGCCTGGCACCCCAAAACTGGCCCGGGACCCCAAAACCTGGGCTGGGACCCCCTAAATCCCGGCCTGAGCCCCTAAAACCCAGACTGAGCCCCTAAAATCTGAACTGAACCCCCAAACCCCCCTGACCCCCCAAACCCCCCCTTTGCCCCCCCTCATGTCCCCCCGCTACCCCGGCGGCCCCCGGCCCCCTCTCCGGATGCCCAGCCAGGTGAGGCGGTCGCTGCCGGGACCCCCCTCCCCAAAAGCAGGGGTGCAGCCCCCCCTGACCCCTGTGCCCCCCGCAGCCCCCCGTGGGTGTTCCAGGCTCCCAGCCGCTGCTGCCCAACGCCATGGACCCGGCCGCGCGCTCCCAGGGTGAGTGGGGGTCCCTGAGCCCCCCGACCCCGAGGTTTTGGGGGGTTCGGGGGGGGCTCGGGGGGTCTCACGCCTCCCCCTCCCCCGTCTGTGCAGGGCATCCTGGCATGGGGGGCCCGATGCAGCGCATGAACCCCCCCCGGGGCATGGCCGGGATGGGGCCGCAGGTACGGGGTGAGGGGTGCTGGGGTGCTGGGGTGCTGGGATAAGGGGGTACTGGGGTACTGGGATAATGGGATAAGGGGGTACTGGGATAATGGGATAATGGGGTACTGGGATACTGGGATAAGGGGGTACTGGGATACTAAGGGGGTACTGGGATAATGGGATAAGGGGGTACTGGGATAATGGGATACTGGGATAAGGGGGTACTGGGATACTGGGATAAGGGGGTACTGGGATAATGGGGTACTGGGATACTGGGATAAGGGGATACTGGGATACTGGGGTACTGGGATAATGGGATACTGGGATACTGGGATAATGGGGTACTGGGATAATGGGGTGCTGGGATACTGGGATACTGGGATAATGGGGTACTGGGATACTGGGATAAGGGGGTACTGGGATACTGGGATAATGGGATACTGGGGTACTGGGATAATGGGGTACTGGGATACTGGGATAAGGGGGTACTGGGATAATGGGGTACTGGGGTACTGGGATACTGGGATAAGGGGGTACTGGGATAATGGGATAATGGGATAAAGGGGTACTGGGATAATGGGGTACTGGGATAAGGGGATAAGGGGGTACTGGGATACTGGGATAATGGGGTACTGGGATAAGGGGATACTGGGATAAGGGGGTACTGGGATAAGGGGGTACTGGGATACTGGGATACTGGGATAAGGGGGTACTGGGATACTGGGATAAGGGGGTACTGGGGTACTGGGATAAGGGGATACTGGGATAAGGGGATACTGGGGTACTGGGATAAGGGGGTACTGGGATGGTGGGGTAATGGGGTAATGGGATAATGGGATACTGGGATAAGGGGGTACTGGGGTAAGGGGGTAACGGGATAAAGAGGTAATGGGATACTGGGATAATGGGGTGCTGGGATACTGGGATGGTGGGATAATGGGATAAGGCGATAATGGGGTACTGGGATAAGGGGGTACTGGGATAATGGGATACTGGGATGATGGGATACTGGGATACTGGGATGATGGGATACTGGGATACTGGGCTAGGGCAGAGTCAGGGATTCAGGGGTGGAAGTGGTTACAGGGACAGGGTGACGAGGATATGGGAATGGGAATGGGGATGGGTAACGGGGCAGGAATGGGGATAAGGGGGTAGAAGGATACAGGGGTGGGGTACGGGGATAAAGGAATGGGATTGGGAATTCGGGGGGGACAGGGGAACAAGAACAGGGATGGGGATACAGGGGTGGGGACAGGGATGAAGGGATGGGAATTGAGGGAATTCCCCCGGGACGAGGATGTGGGTGAGGACAGGGATGGGGGTGACAGGGACTGGGATGGGGACGGAGGGATGGGGATGGCTTTTGGGGACGGGGGTGGAGGTCACAGCAGGGATGGGGAAGGGGATACGGGGACGGGGGTGCAGGGTGGGGACATTCCAGGGGTGTCCCACCCCGCTGACCCCCCTGTCCCGGCAGAGCTACGGCAGCGGGATGCGCCCCCCCCCCAGCTCGCTGGCCGGCCCTGGGATGCCCACCATGAACATGTAAGACCCCCATAACCCCCCCCAAAACCCCCCCCAGCGTGGGGGGAGCCTCGGGACCGGCAGGACCCCCCCTCACTGTCCCCGTTGCCTCCCCAGGGGTCCCGGTGGCCGCGGGCCCTGGCCCAACCCCAACGCCAACTCCGTAAGTTTTGGGATTTGGGGTGGGGGGGGTCCTGTGGGGGTGCGCTGCCCCTGTGTCCCCCCCCCCATGCTGACTCCCTCTGTGTCCCCCCAGATCGCCTACTCCTCCTCATCCCCTGGGAATTACGTGGTGAGTATTGGGGTGCGCTGTTGGGGATGGGGGGGGGGCTGCAGTGACCCTGTGACCCCCCAAACCCACCCCCCACTTTTTCCTTTTCCCTTCCAGGGCCCTCCTGGGGGCGGTGGCCCCCCCGGCACCCCCATCCTGCCCAGCCCCGGAGGTGAGTGAGGGGATGGGATGGGGCATGAGTGATGGGGTTTGGGGGTGTGAGTGGGATTTGAGGATGTGAATGGGGTTTGGTGGGGGTATGAGTGGATTTTGGGGGGGTATAAGTGGGATTTTGGGGTGTGAGTGGGGTTTGGTGGGGGTATGAGTGGATTTTGGGTGGTATAAGTGGGATTTGGTGGGGTATGAGTGGAGTTTGGGGGTATGAGTGGGATTTAGGGGTGTGTGAGTGGATTTTGGGTGGTATAAGTGGGATTTGGTGGGGTATGAGTGGAGTTTGGGGCATGAGAGTGGGATTTGGGGGTATGAGTGGGATTTGGGGGTGTGAGTGGGATTTTGGGTGGTATAAGTGGGATTTGGTGGGGTATGAGTGGGGTTCGGGGCGTGAGAGTGGGATTTGGGGGTATGAGTGGGATTTGGGGGTACAGGTGGGATCTGGGGGTACAGGTGGGATTTGGGGGGGCCACACTCACCCCCCACACACATGTGGTGTCCCCCCCAGACTCCACCAACTCCAGTGAGAACATGTACACCATGATGAACCCCATCGGACCCGCGGGGAACCGGCCCAACGTGAGTGACGGGATTGGGGACAGGGATGGGGACAGGGACAGGGATGGGGACAGGGATGGGGATGGGACAGGGACAGGGTTTGTACAGGAACAGGGATGGGGACAGGGATGGGACAGGGATGGGGACAGGGATTGGACAGGGATGGGACAGGGACAAGGATGGGACAGGGGCTGGGGATGGGGGACAGGGACAGAAACAGGGACAGGGACGGGGACAGGGATGGGACGGGAACGGGGATGGGGACAGGGATGGGGACAGGGATGGGGACAGGGATGGGGACGGGGACAGGCTTTGGGGTCCCCCAGCATTCCTCACCCCCTGTTCCCTTGCAGTTCCCGATGGGGCCCGGCCCCGAGGGGCCCATGGGTGGGATGGGCGCCATGGAGCCGCACCACATGAACGGATCCTTAGGTGGGTGACAGCCCTGGGGACAGCGGGGGTCCTTCGTGTCCCCCTAAAAATCCCAAATCCTGCGGGGTGTGAGCTCCAGCTGAGGCTGGATGGGCTCGAGCAGCGGGAGGGGCACGAGGGTGGGAGGGGGGAGCGGATTGAGGGGACACAGACACGGATT